AATGTGAGTGCCCCCCACCTTGAATTCTTCTGTTATTTCTTAGTCACACACCTAGGGCATTTAATAAGTACATGCAGGGCTCGGCGCCCACAGCACCATGGTGAGGATGCCAGCCCCATACACTGAGGGTGGCAGGTTTGAACCCAGCCTGGGACAGCTAAACAACAATGGCAAATACAACAAAAAACAGCTGGGCATTGAGGTGGGCAGCTGTAGTCTCAGGTACTTGGGAGGCTGAGGCAAGAGAATCACTTAAGCCCAAGAGTTTGAGGTTGCTATGAGCTGTGATGCCACCGCACTCTACTGCAGGCGACACAGTGAGACTATCCCCCCCCAAAAAAAGTACATTGAACAGTCTCACTCACAGAGATATGGCACAATTTTCTAAATGATCTAAGACTTGCTTTTCTTTATATTCCACTAAAAACATCTGGCATGGTCTTAAACATACGTTAGGCAATCAAAAAAAAAAGATCTATCAAATTGAAATACATTATTTCTCACATTGGATTAACCTTGGTTATCCTCAAATGAGCAAGAGTTAGTTTTAAAGTACCCAAAGGAAACCTAGTGTGGGGATGAAGGTTCTCCTGAACCACTCTAGCTACCAGGACTAAAGCTGTCTTACCTTTACATCTGGCACCTGAGTACCAAGACTGCTGAGTCCCACAATGGAGTAGAAGGCAGATTCCAAATCTGTGAAAGGGCGGTCCAGCGAAGATTTCAGTCTCTCCACATCATGCTTGGTGAGGTAGTGAGTGGGTGTCAGAGCCTGGGTGATGGCTATGATTGTCAGGGCCAACAGGAAGACAGTGCTTGAACCTTGGGGGAAAATGACCATTAAATACTTTCCATACATTTCCCAAGTTCTACACAGAGTCCCAAGGATGATGCATGCCGAAGTCTGGGAACCAAATCACGTGGGGAAGAGTAAGGAAACCAGGGAGGTTTAATCTGAAAAGAAGCCCCGAGGAAGTGGTGAGCCTAGTTTTCAACAGTCAAGGTTGCCCAGCAACCTCCAGGCATCTAAAGCACAGGACTCATGACATTATTTCCATTTAAAGGACATTCATAAGTCCTACACCTTAAGAAGAAAGACCCAATCCTGAATCTTCACCCTGCCTACACCACCTTTCAACCAGATTTCCTCCCTTACTCTTCCCACTATCTATTGCTCTCTGGCTTCTACTGTCCCTCTAAGAAGAAGTCTTCTTTCCCGCCCAGCACTTGTCCCATGCTTTCTCTTACTTCAACTTTACTTAATTTTTAGCTTCAGATTTCACCTCAAATATCTATTCCTTAAGAAGCCTTCCCTAACAGCCCGCCCTTGGTGTAGGTCCCAGTATGATTAACATAGGGAAGAACCTGCGCTTTAGAGCCAGGGTTAAATCATAGCTCTGCCACTTATTAGCAATGTGGCCATGGCAAAGTTATACACCCAGCCTGTGCCTCAATTTCCTCGAATGTAAAGTGAAATAACAAGATCTACCCAAGGGATGATGATTACATGAGTCAATACAGAAAGATCTTGGAATAATTGGCACATAAGGAACGAGTTCTATATAAATGTTAGCTACTACTTCTGCTACCATAATTGTTGTTGTTAGATCCACTCATAGCAATCTGTACTTCTCCTGTGTAGTATATTTCACAACTATAACAGTGTAATGTCTGATTTCTCTGCTAAAAGTTCCATGAGGATAAAGATTGTTTCCTCAGCTCATCTCAGTATTTCCAAGTCTTGCACGTTGCCTGGCACATTATAGGTACTGAATAAATATTTGCTGAATAAATGGAAGGAAAAATCAAGCCCCATTTATCTTTCTGTTCCCATTGGACAGGAAACTATAGGAATGGTACATTTCTACTTTTCATTTAAAAAACTTCTGAATGGGCTGCTTCGTGATAAAGTCAATTGTCTGCCACTCAAGTAATAGCAATAACAAGAAATCACAAGGCTGACACGAATGGTCCTAAATTCTTGGTCCTTAGTGTTAAATTAAGCTTGAAACAGAATACTTTAAGAAAGGCATTCTTCTATCCATTTTACAAAAAGAAAACTGAGGAACACAGCAGCTTGCACAGAGCAAATCATGGACTCAAACCGAGGTCTAATAGTGTTCACACTCCACTATTTTTTAAACAATTAAAAGAAATACCTACATTAAGAGTTTAACTCAGAGAATCATTCTTCTCTGATCTTAGCTATATTTAAGATCCACATGCATTAGCCTAAGAATGTCAAAGTTCTTTAAAAAGATAGAAAAACACTATAATGTGGAATATTCATGAAATATATATTGAATGCTACTCTGTGCCAAGCACTATTTTAAGTGTTAAAATTACAATAGGAAATGGAACAAAACCCACCATTCTCACAGAGTTTGTATTCTAGTGGCGAAAAAAAGACATTACACAAAACAATTAAATATTACTTATTGCATTAGAAGCGAAAAAGTGCTGTGGAGAAAAATCAAGTACAAAAAGGATATCTGGGAAGGGCTGCATTTTAAATACGGGAGTCTATAAAGGCCTAAGCAATAAATAATGATATTGAGTATAGACCTGAAGAAGGAGAAAGTCATGGTGGTATCTGGGGGAAAACTCTACCAAGAAGAAAAGCAAGTGCAAAGACTCTGAATCAGGAGTATGTATATATGGTGCATTTTGAGATCAGCAAGAACAGTATGGCTACAGCGGATTACACAGCAGTGAGAAGTGAGAAACGAGGTGACAGAGGACACTGAGGCCAAATCTAGAGGACCTTGTATGTCACTGTAAGGACTTTGGCTTTTATTGAGATGGGAGCCACTAGAAAGTTCAGAGCAGTGATTTGACTTGCATTTAAACAGGATCATAGTGTGGAGCAGAGACAATACTATGTTGAGAATAGATTATGGAGCAGCAAGGACAGAAAGAGGAATACCTTGGCTCGGCGCTGGCCACATGCACCAAGGCTGGCAGGTTCCAACCCGGCCAGGGCCAGCTAAACAATGACAACTGCAACAAAAAATAGCCAGGTGTCGTGGTGGGCGCCTATAGTCCCAGCTATTTGGGAGGCTGAGGCAAAAGAATTGCTTAAGCTCCAGAGTTTGAGGTTGCTGTGAGCTGTGATGCCACCGCACTCTACTGAGGGTGACATAGACTCTGCCTCACCAAAAAAAAAACAAAAACAAAAACTATACCAAGAAAAAAAGGAAAAGGAGTTAGGAAACTACAGCCATAAAAAGATGATAGTGCTCTCAGCCAGAACAAAAGGGGTAGAGCTGGTGAGATGTAATGAGAGTTAGCCTGGCTCCAATTCAAAGTTAAAGCCTATCAGAATTGCTAATGGATAGAAAAATCTAAGAGGAAGAGGAACCAACATACTAATGCAGAATGAATCCTCCATGCTTTGTGTACATGTACTCAATATGTTAGGAGCTAGCGAATGACTATAACTAGCATTTTCCCAGCTAGACCGTAAATTCCCCCAACAGCATCTGTGACAAAATCCTAACCTTCCCACCTCACATTAATGACTGAAATAATTTTCCTGACTAAAATTTGAGCACTTAAAATAGGGTTAGGTATGCCCAAAGTATGCTAATGCACCTATTAAACCCTCACAATATACAAGTGAGGTGGCTATTTTTTGTGTTTTGCAGACCAAGAATGGAGGCTCAGAGGTAGTTAACTGCCCTGTGATACATAACTGAGAATCAAACTGCAGGTGGCTTGAATCCAAAGTCTGTTTTTAAACACTTTACTATCCTCAACTTCTCAAACAGTGAAGCAGTGAGCCACTGTGCCACCTTGGTCAAGTTGCTTCCCTTATCTGGGATTTCAACTTTTTTTTTTATTTCCTTGCTTACTTTTTATTTTTATTTCCTTGCTTTTGTTGTTGTTGTTGTTGAGACAGAGTCCCACCCTATGCCCTGAGCAGAGTGCAATGGTGTCACAGCTCACTGCAACCTCAGTGGGCATTCCACTGCCTCAGCCTCCTGAAGCTGCTGGGATTACAGGCACTCACCACGGTGCCTGGCTGGGTTTTTCATTTTTTTAGGAGTTTGGGGGTCTCACGCTCACTCAGGCAAGTCTCCCTCCTCAGCCTCCCACAGTGCTGGGATTACAGGTGTGAGGTTTTTTTTTTTTTTAGACAGAGTCTCTGTTTGCCCAGGCTAGAGTGACCTGGCTTCAGCCTAGCTCACAGCAACCTCAAACTCTCGGGATCAAGTGATCCTTCTGCCTCACTCTCCCAAAAAGCTGGGACTACAGGGGTTCACTTGAGCCCAAGCAATCCTCCTGCCTCAGCCTCCCAAGAGTGCTAGGATTATAGGTGTAAGCCACCAGGTTCAGGCTGAGATTCCAACTTCTCATCTGCTGTCAAATAGAAATAACAGGAGTACACGTTTTCCAAATTATAATGAGACTACTGGTGAAATTCCATGCTGCAGCGTCCACTCAATAACCACCAATGCAATTAACTTTAATGAGCGTTTACTTAGTGCAAGGCACTGTTCTGTGATTATCTTATTTAATAGAGCAACTCTATGAGGTAGATAACGTGACTAACTTATTTTAAAGATGAGAAACCGAGGTGCAGAGGGGTTAAGTAACTCGCGCTGGGTCACATAATGAATACGTGGCCGACTTCAAGTTTGCACCCAGAGTCTAACTTCAGAACTTATATTCTAAGTTCCAAAAAGAGATGAGTTATTTTCTTGTCCCTTTCACTTAGAAAAAAACTACCGCCCAAGATAGAAACATTTGTCTAAGCTCATAGGGAGTTAAGGGACGGTGCGGGAATCAGACCTTAAGGAGTCTAGCCTAAAAGCCCGCGCGAGTCAAATGAATGAGCGATGCGAGGCCTAGGGCTCAGAGCGGCCGCGGTTCCCCTAGCTGGCCCTCTGGGGGACCCGTACCCCGCACTGCACACACCCCCACCCTCAGTGCTCGCGGGCACTCCCACCAGCTCGCAGTCCCCCGTCAGACCCTCGATCCCCAGAGAGCCTGAGCCCATGCCCCTGCCCCGCAGGGAAAGGGGACCCCGCCTGGCCGGCTCCCGAGTGGCGGCCACCAGCGTCCCACGGGCAACGGCCCGCTCCCCAAGGCGTGCGGGCCGCTGGGCCCCGCCGTTGAGCCATGCGCAACGCCTCACCCGGCGGCGCCATTCCTCCGAGCAGGTCCCACCGGAGTACGATCCACCGGCTGACTTCCGCTCCGGAAAGTTGCTCCAAGAGCGTGCCGGAGGGGACGCCAGGGACTCGCGGCAAGCTCTGCGAGCTGGCATGGGCTCTAGGCACAGGTCAGTCCCCACGGGCCCCCTGGGCCTGGGCGCTCCTAGCAGCTGCGGCTGGAATTCCAATCCTTGCGTGCAGACGGCATAGCTGTTCTCGTGTACAGGCCTGTCTCCTCACCCCGCGCCTGAACCCACTTGGAACCGACCGTCTCGCAACGGTCCCATTCGGGGCGCTGCCGGGAAGCGGTTGGTCAAGGCCTCAGTGGGGGGGGTGGGCATTAGACGGGGCGGTCTCTGATTGGTCCAACTTGCTGTCACTCACACGTCTCTGCAGCCCGGCCAATTTTAAAGGACCGGAAAGGGTCTGGTGCAGAGTAGGTGACGGTATTTTATCTTTTTTTTTTTTTTTTTTTTTTTAGAAAATTATGGCAATTTCCTCCGAAGGTTATTACTTCGATTGTTAATACCGACCTCTGAATGGCGTTTAATCTGATTTTCAGAGCAATTCAATGACTCGTGAGAAGCACATTAGCCCAATTTTATAGACATCATAAGATGAAACGTGGAAATGGCTCATCTAAGAATACAGTACTAATAACTAGCTCCGACCATTGAGTGTTTACGATATAATCCGACAGTACACCAAGAATTCTACGTACATTATTTCATTTACTCATCATCCCGATTCTGTGAAGTAGGTACTGTGTTAATCCCACATTATGGAGAAGGAAACATTTGAACCAGGCAGTCTGTCTCCAGTATGTGTGCATTTAAATACAGTATTATAAACATATGAAGTATGCACAATATGATAACTCTTACCATCATTATTGTCTCAAATATTATCCCAAATAGGGAGAATCGATTCTTTCTGTGTGCGGACTGTGCTGTTCAGTATGGTAGTCACTAGTCTTATTTAGATATTTAAATTTGAATTTAAGGTAAATAAAATTAAATAAGATTAAAGATACAGTAGATTTATACTAGCCTCATTTCCTTTGTTTGTTTGTTCTGTTTTTTTGAGACAGAGTGTCACTATGTCGACCTGGGTAGAGTGCCGGGGCATCACAGCTCACAGCTACCTCCAACTCTTGGGCTTAAGCAATTCTCTTGCCTCAGCCCCTCAAGTAACTGGGACTACAGGTGCCCACCACAATGCCCAGCTATTTTTTTATTTGGGGGGCTGTAGTTGTCATTGTTGTTTAGCTGGGCCCAGCCAGGCTCAAACCTGCCAGCTTCGGTGTATTTGGCTGGTTCCCTACTCACTGAGCTATGGGCCCTGCCACCAGGGAAGTCTTTCTGATAAAATATTTCCCCAGGAGTGGTCCCCTTAGCCCAGTGGGTAGGGTGCAGGCCACATACACTATGGGTGACAGGTTTTAGCCTGGCCTGGGCCTGCTAAACAACAATGACAACTGCAACAAAAAAATAGCTGGGCATTGTGGTGGCTACCTGTAGTACCAGTTACTTGGGAGGCTGAGGCAAGAGAATCGCTTAAACCTAAGAGTTTGAGATTGCTGAGAGCTGTGACACCACAGCACTCTACTGAGGGTGACATAGTCTGTGTCTCAAAAAAAAAAAAATATATATATATATCTTTCCCTAGGTTGATATCTTCAAGTGTTTCCCCTGTACTTTCTTTGAGGATGTTTATTGTTTCATGCCTTACATTTAAATTTTTCATCCATCTTAAATCAATTTTTGCAAGTGGTAAGAGGTGCAGGTCCAGTTTCAGTCTTTTACATATGGTTATCCAGTTCTCTCAACACCATTCATTGAATAGGGATGCTTTCCCCCAGTGTATGCTCTTGTTTGGTTTATCAAAGATCAGGTGGCTGTAGAATGTTAGTTTCATCTTATGGTTTTCTATGAAGTTCCAAATGTCAATGTCTCTATTTTTGTACCAATACCACGCTGTTTCAATTCCTTTTATACTACAAGGCCTTGTAGTATAACTGAAAAGTCTGGTAGGGTGATGCCCCTGGCTTTGTTTTTGTATTACTAAGAATTGCCTTGGCTATATGGCATTTCCTCTGGTTCTGTACAAAATGAAGAATTATTTTTTCCAAATTGTGAAACTATGATTATGATATTTTAACAGGAATTGTATTGAATCTGTTGATTGCTTTGGGTAGTATAGACATTTTTCACAATGTTGGTTCTTCCCAGCCATGAACATGGTATGTTCCTCCATTTGTTAATATCTTCTGCTATTTCTTTTTTTAGGGTTCCTAATTTTCTTTGTAGAGGTCCTTCACCTCTTTTGTTAGGTATATTCCTAGGTATTTCTTTTTTCTTTTTTTTTGAGACAGAGTCTCATTTTGTCACCCTTGATAGAGTGCTGTGGCACCACAGCAACCTCAAACTTGTGGAGTCAAGAAATTCTCTTACCTCAGCCTCCTTAGCTGCTGGGACTATACATGACCTGCCGCAATGTCTGGCCATTTTTAGAGACAGGAGTCTCAGTCTGGCTCAGGGTGGTCTCAAACTCATGAGCTCAGGCAATCCACCTGCCTCAGCCTCCCAGGGTGCTAGGATTAGAAGCATGAGCCATAAAACCTAGCCATATTTGTTTCTTTCTTTCTTTCTTTTTTTTGGAAGCTCCTGTGAAAGGAATTGTGTCCTTGATAAACTTCTCATCTTGGCTATTATTGGCATATACAAAGGCTACTGATTTGTGGACATTGATTTTATATCCTAAGACATTGCTGTATTTTTTGATCACTTCTAGGAGTCTTGTGGTTGAGTCTTTGGAGTTCACTAGGTATAAGATCATATCATCAGCAAAGAATGGAAGTTTGACCTCCTCTGCATCCATTTGGATGCCCTTTATTTCTTTCTCTTGCCTGATTGTATTGGCTAGAACTTCTAGCACTATGTTGAATAGTAGTGGCAATAGAGGACAACCATGTCTGGTTCTAGTTCTAAGTGGAAAAGTTTTCAATTTTACTCCATTTAGTATAACAATAGCTGTGAGTTTGTCACAGATGGCTTCATGAGATTAAGAAATGTGCCACCCGGCCAGGCACAGTGGCTTACACCTATAATCCTAGCACTCTGGGGGACCAAGGCAGGTGGATTGCCTGAGCTCACAGGTTCAAGACCAGTCTGAACCAGAGCGAGACTCCATCTCTAAAACTAGCCAGGCATTAGGCTGGGCCCAGTGGCTCATGCCCGTAATCCTAACACACTGGGAGGTGGAGGCAGGTAGATTGCCTGAGCTCACAAATTTGAGACCAGCCTGAGCCAGTGCAAGACCTCATCTCTAAAAATAGCCAGGTGTTGTGCTGGGCACCTATAGTCCCAGCTACTTCGGAGGCTGAGACAAGAGAATGACTTAAGCCCAAGAGTTTGAGGTTGCTGTGAGCTGTGATGGCACAGCACTCTATTTAAGGCAACAAAGTGAGACTCTGTCCCAAAAATTAAAAAAAAAACAACAGAACAATAGCCAGGCATTGTGGTGGGCACCTGTAGTCCTACCTACTCAGGAGATTGAGACAAGAGAATCACTTGAGCCCAACAGTTTAAGGTTGCTGTGAGCTATGACAACACAGCACTCTACTGAGGGTGACAGAGTAAGACTTTGATGTGCCACCTATACTGATATTCTTAAGTGTTCTAATTAGAAAAGGATGCTTAATTTTATCAAATGCTTTTTCTGCATCTATTGAGAGGATCATATAGTCTTTTTGCTTCTGTTGATATGGTGAATTACATTTATGGACTTGCATATGTTAAACCAGCCTTGCATCCCTGGGATGAAACCTACTTGATTGTGATGAATTACTTTTTTAATGTGTAGCTGTAATCTCTTGGCTAGAATTTTATTGAGAATTTTTGCATCTATATTCATTAGAGAAATTGGTCTGAAATTCTTCTTTTTAATTGGGTCTTTTACTGGTTTTGGTATCAAGATGATGTTTGCTCCGTAAAACATGTTGGGGGAAGATTCCTTCCTTCTCAAATTTTTGTAATAATTTCTGCAGTATGGGTATATGCTCTTCTTTGAAGGTTTGATAGAATTGGTGTAAAGCCATCTGGACCAGGGCATTTTTTGGTTGGGAGACTTTTTTATTGTTTCTTTGATCTCAGTTCTTGAAATCAGTCTGTTCAAGAGAGCTATTTCTTCTTGGTTAAGTCTAGGGAGAAGGTGTGATTCCAAGTATTGAGCCATTTCCTCCACATTGTCAAATTTCTGGGCATAGAGTTTCTTGTAGTACTCAGAGATGATCTCTTGTATCTCTGTGGCATCTGTTGTTATTTCCCCTTTGTCATTTCTGATTGAGGTTATTAGAGATTTTACTTTTCCGTTTCTAGTTAATCTGACCAAAGGTTTATTGCTTTTATTTTTTCAAAAGCCCAACTTTTCGTTTTGTTAATTTTCTGGATGATTCTTTTGTTTTCAATTTCATTAATCTCTGATTTGATTTTTGTTATTTGTTTTCTTCTGCTGAGTTTGGGATTAGATTGTTCTTTGTTTTCCAATTCCATAAGATGGTTTACAAGTTTGTTGATAACACTTTCTGTTTTTCAAATGTAAGCATCTAATGGGATAAATTTCCCTCTTAAGACTGCTTTTGCTGGGCACAGTGACTCACGCTTGTAATGTCAACACTCTGGGAGGCCAAGGCAGGTTGATCACTAGAGCTCACGAGTTTAAGACAAAGTTGAGCAAGAGCAAGACCCCTTCTCTAAAAAGCTAGCTGGGGGTGGCACCCATAGCTCAGTGAATAGGGCACGGACCACATACATGAGGGCTGGTGGGTTTGAACCCAGCCTGGACTAGCTAAACAACCATGACAACTGCAATGAAAAAATAGCCAGGGGTTGTACCGGGTACCTCTAGTCCCAGCTACTTGGGAGGCTGAGGCAAGAGAATCACTTAAGCCCAAGGGTTGGAGGTTGCTGTGAGCTGTGACACTACAGCACTCTACTGAGAGTGACATAGTGAGACTGTCTCAAAAAAAAAAAAAACTAGCTGGGTATTGTGGTGGGTGCCTATAGTTCTAGCTACTTGGGAGGCTAAGGCTAGAGGATCACTTGCGCCCAAGAGTTTGAGGTTGCTG